CACTCCCCCTGCTTGTGTTCCCTCTCTCATGCTCTCTCTCTCTGTCAAATAAATAAATAAGATCTTAAAAAAAATTATTAAAAAAACCCCACATGTCTATATTCTAAGACTGAGTTGTATCTTCCAACTCAAGAAGTTAGGGTGTCACTAGTAGTTTTTATACTGCTCAATTGATCCCCAGCTCTTGAAGGCGGGGTAGATGCCAGGCCCCAGGGAGAGGAGTAGGTGAAAGAAGGAGCGCTTCCCACCTACGTTGTTCTAAGGATTTGCACGCTGAAAGGATTTGGAACCAGGCAAATAAAACTTGATCCACCAGCCTATCATTCTACCTATCTATCTGCACACATTTATTAAACGTTTAGGATTTTAAAAAGCCTAAATGTGGCCGCAGTGCTCTGGGGATGGCAAATGTCTATCAATGGCATATCATATAATGGGGGTATAGATGCTCCTACTAAGTTCCAGCAGGAGAGCGGTGGAAACAGCCCGAGACAGGGCACAACACGGTGGGTCAGAGCTGAGAGCCAATTCCTGAAAAGGTGGCTGGGATCCCTGGCCCTCTGGGAGTGTGAGCATCGAACAAGATGCCTCCACTAGATAGGAAGATAGAAGAAGAACTAAGTGATAAAGCATTTTTAAATGACAACACAGCAAGATTTATTTAAGAGTACTCATTAAGGATTTGTTAAACAAATGAGAAAAAGTCAGAAGTGCTAACTTGTTATAACTGTGCCATTCTGCCCCCCCAAAAAAGTCCATTTTTTGTTCCGTTTTCTAGTGCAACGGTAGATTCTCCAAGTCCTTCATAAAGGAGCACCTACTCAACAGACAAAACTGTCCCAGTGACTGAAAATAATTTCAATCTATCTTGAAGCTGAAAGACCCCTCCTAAATGATGAGGTGTAAATGGAAGTAGAGAAGCCAGTTCTGCCAACTGTAAAAGCTGAAGAAAGCAAATCCCTTTAGGTGAAGATCAAGATATTTCTATAATTTAAAAAATCTAGACATCCTATGCATATGTTGCCCTGGGTGGTAGAAGTAAGACTCTGCTTCACCCTTTCATCCACATTATGTCTTTTTCCTAAGTCAGGGAGTACGCAAATGATCATCACCTCAAAGCTGCAATAGTGAGGCAGTGTTGGCATGGACAACTGAAGCAACCAGAAATCCTAGAAAAGAAAAAGGGATTCAGAAAC